AAAATTGCTTATGTGATCTCCACCAAACTCGTGGGCACTCTACCGTGAACTGCAAAGTTCTTGGCGCCAGACTTGCCGCAAAATTGCTTCTGGGAGAACTCTCCGAGATATCCAGCGCCAAGGACCTCATCCGCGATTCAGATCGCCCCCAGAAAAACGACAGGAACTCGCGAGCGGAAACTCCGCCTCAAGGGAACCAGTCAGGCGAAAAAGACGGACGAAGGCAAGACGGGAAAGGTAACGATGCTAACCGCCAAAAGATCAATATGATCATCAGCGAATCTATCAAGTCCTACCAATGAAAACCCGAAACCGGTTCAAGTTGGAACATACCATCGGATAACAGTCAAAAGGGAGTGATCTCTTTCAATGACATAGAAACCGGCAGCATCGATCAACCGCACGCCGACCCTCTCGTCATCGACTTAGTCATAAGAGACTTAAAAGTCGCCCAAATTCTGGTCGACACTGGAAGCATCTTCAACGTAATCTTCCGCAACAAGTTGGCGCGCATGGGAATCGATTTATCTGAGATCGAGCCAATACCAAAGACGTTGACCAGTTTCTCCGGTGAAACAGCTATGACTCTAGGTTCGATCCGACTTCCGGTCGCCGCGAAAGAAGTGACGAAAATCGTCAACTTTGCAGTCGTCGATTCCCCAGCTATCTACAACATGATCATTGGCACGCCTTGGATAAACTCCATGAAGGTGATTCTGTCGACATACAACTTAGGCATCAAGTTTCCGACCCCTATGGTAGTCGCAGAAATTTTGGGATGCCAAAGACAATCGCAATCTTTCTTTTTAGCTGAACATAATCTAAGGCAATTGGCGGTCGCAATCGTGAAACCGAAACGGTCAAAGTTCACACCGCCGCCCGCTGAAAACGACCCAAACAAGCAACGGTTCAGAAGCAACAACCTTCCGCACCCATCGCTTCTACCCAACCGGAGGAGACAAACCCGGACCAAGACGCCAATCCAGCGACTAAAGCGATCGAGAAGTCTGCGACAGCCGAGTAAACATACTCGCACCAACAATCAGAACTACGAGATGGCTTCATTTTTGAAAGGAATGCGTAGGCAGCTCGCCTAAAGACGAGTTCAGCTATCCCCCTTTCCGAAACTGGGGGGGGGAGTGGGTGCATATACGAGTATTCGTATACTCCCGAATTTTAAAATATTTGTTCTGTAATTGAAATTTTCGAAACTTTTTAATAAAGGAAAAGTTAGAATATTATAAAATCTCTCTTTAATCGAAAAACATTTTTCTATGCATCAAGAAAACGCTTTCTATAAAGTAAACTCTCGAAAAAAACAAGGCGGAAAAATATTCGAGCAATACGATACCTCGTAAAGATCATCCCAAAAGCAAACGACAATCAAAAATTCGTCTAAACGCTAAGAACTGATCAAAACATTATGGGAAATAAAATCAAGGACTATACACCATCTCATCGCAGTCACGCATTAGAAAACGTCTGCCGAACCTCATAGTGAAACTCGACGATTTGCCGAAGTCGTAAAGAGCTTTTCCAACTTGATAAAAGACAAGTTTCGTAGAAGAATCGGAAAATTATGCAAGAAATCTTTAGGCATCAAAGCATTCCTCTCATTTTCCGTCGAACCAAGTGAGTCACAGAATAATGTCAAGAACAATTGCGGCAAAAGAAAAACCGAGAAGACAAAGCAGCAATAGAGAACATGTCTTCCCTGCTTGTTGACTGATCCTATTGCTGGTCAAGTGATTCGTTCCGCTCAAGAAACCCGCTAAAACATTTTGCGACTTACTTTGTTGGGGTCAAAATCGGTACGACGGAATTAATAGCCAAAACTCCCCGCGAAAATACAAAAAGAACAGTTTTATAAAACCCGAGGAATAGTTTTATAAAACTCAAAGTCATTTATAAAACTCGCAGACCATTTTATAAAACTCGAAAGATCGTTTTATAAAACTCGAAGATCGTTTCATAAAACTCGAGAATCGTTTTATAAAACTCAAAGATCGTTTTATAAAACTCGAAGATCGTTTTATAAAACTCGAGAAGTCGTTTTATAAAACTTAAGGATCGTTTTATAAAACTCGAGAATCGTTTTATAAAACTCGAAGATCGTTTTATAAAACTCGAGAAATCAATTTATAAAACTCGAGAATCGTTTTATAAAACTCGAGAATCGTTTTATAAAACTTGAAGATCGTTTTATAAAACTCGAGAAATCGTTTTATAAAACTCGAGAATCGTTTTATAAAACTGGAAGATCGTTTTATAAAAATCGAAGATCATTTTATAAAACTCGAGAAATCGTTTTATAACACTCGAGAAATCGTTTTATAAAACTCGAGAATCGTTTTATAAAACTCGAAGATCGTTTTATAGAACTCGAAGATCGTTTTATAAAACTCGAAGATCATTTTATAAAACTCGAGAAATCGTTTTATAAAACTCGAGAATCGTTTTATAAAACTCGAAGATCGTTTTATAAAACTTGAGAATCGTTTTACGAAACCGCAAAAAACCGAAATAGCCGTAAAACGCGAACTAGTCGCAACTAGTTCGCCCATCGGCGAACTAAGCCGGCCCGACTTAGTTCGCCGATGGGCGAACTAAGAGGTACTCTTCTAGTTCGCCCATCGGCGAACTAAGCCGGGCCGGCTTAGTTCGCCAATGGGCGAACTAGGAAGTGATCAACTAGTTCCCCCATCGGCGAACTAAGCAGGTCCGGCTTAGTTCGCCCTAGTTCGCCCATCTGCGAACTAGAGACTTCCCGGACATTCCGCGTCTCGATCTCCAGCATTCCCGATTTGAAACTTACGTCTTTCGACAAGATCATGTTCTAAACTATGGCCAAAACATCTCCCGTTCCATCTCGATCCGACTTACCGTTCGAGTTTTACGATATAAACCGTAAAACTTTGCTTTCTCGGAAAGAACTCGAGGAAATCGTATAAAACGGCAACGATTAAACGAAACACCGAACATTGCCTAAACTATACGATTTATTCGAGATTTCTCGTTGAAATCATTAAAATGCGTCTTTTAATTAAAAAACGCCGAGTAAGTCGTAAAAAACGTGTTTTTAATA